ATGGAGACCGTGGAGGGGTAAAATGGTCTTTTACGCATTCCAAGCATTAGAGTGAGAAAGTAAGAGAAAATTTTGGTGTATTTGAGTAAGAGTTGGGTATTAGTTAGAGATGCTTATCTAATGTGTTAGGCAGAGGCTAGTTCGGGATTTCGGAGTACGTGTCTGTTACTTGCTAGTTTACGAGGTGAGTCTTCTTACAATACTTACCAAGAGTGGTATCTTTATTAGATTAAGCTGTTTTATGTGTTTATCTATGTATTGTAATATTCTTCATTTTGTCTTTGTGATTTATGTTGAAAATTATAACTATGAGTTTACTGAGTTGGGACCGGAGGGTTCCACTGAGACACATCGACCGGAGGGTCTTATTGAGTTATGGCCTAGAGTGTCAAATGAGTTGTGTATGGTATTTTGGGGAACTTACTAAGCTTTGTGGTTACCGTGTTATGTATTTTAGGTACTTCTCAGGATCACGGGAAGGCGTCGGCTTGATTGTACACACAGACCAAAGATTGTTATTATTGAGAGGATCCTAGAGTTTTATATACAAATTTATTTTGGACATGAGTTTTGATGAATTAACATTGTAGCACTTTGTGGTTTTATTATGAGAATGAATTTCTTTGAAATTTAAAAATTTGGTAAAAAAGTTTTACGTCCTTACAAGATAATGAAAACCGTTGAGGAGAAAAATAATCAAATGGTTAACTCTATTAGGGTGCAAAGTTCGTCATGTATGACTTTGTAGATGGTTTGACTTTTGTAGACCCACTTGCATGTGGTGCATTAGCCTTATGACTAATGAGAGTTAGAGAGTGAGAGAGAGACATGTACACACCTCTATATAAGGTGGGTTCATACCACTTGTAGAGGTCTGCTTGAGAGATGTAGTTAAAGTGATTAGTGAGTGAGATATTTATGAAGTTCTAGACTAGATCCTTTTTTGTACTCATTTACTATGATGGAATATATCTTTTAGCACCAAAATCACCATGTTCATTGTGCAATCTTTATATCCGCATGCCAAACCATTTAATTATGTCACTACAGTTGGTATCAGAGCGGGTCTTTAAGATCAATATGATTTTTGAAGAACAATTCTCGGTTTGGAAACTTTTGTCGCAATTTGAGCAATTTTGGTGAGTCTCTCTCTATGATCTCTCGTAATATTTGGATTCGTGCGTTGTGTTCTTGATTTTTGATCGTTTGACTCATTGGATCAAATTTTTCTTGAAAAACCACATTGTTGTGATCGAATAGTTTTTTTTTTTTTTTGGATAAAAGCTCGATCCAGTTTCATATTTGTTTGTTTGAATCAAATTTAGGCCAAGGACATTTTAAATCCATGACTGTTCACCCTTGATATTAACTCCATAATATTGTGATCCAATTAATGTTCCTATTATCCGATTGGAAGCCCAATCCAAATCATGGTCATGGTACTGTTTCGTAACCAATTCACTTGGAACCCAAAAATCAAGATCCGATTCGTGTGAGTCTACGTAGTTTTTAATTCGATCAAATTGTTAATGATTGTTCATCCTTTTGACTTATACACACGCATAATATTCTTGTATCATTAGATCAAGTTTTCTTTATGATCAGTTGTTCTTGTGTTCTTCATCTCGATTTCCAATTTTTTACTTCTCATCGATAATGCATGTTTATCGGAAAATGAGTTTTGATTTCTTGTAAATATGGAATCATAATTGATTATCGATTGGGAAAGCTTAGGTTTTGAAAAACTAGAGTTCGGAATTGTCTTTTACTTTGTTGATCATCAATTGAATGCAAGTCATATTCAGTTCAAATTTGCATTTGATGATGGTTCGATTTTTACTATTTCTTAAGACTGATGTCTGTTTATCGATTTTTGATTAGCTCGAAATCGATTTTGATTTTTGATTGATATTAGATGATGATAATGAACAAATCAAGAACAAATATGACTGATGAATGAAAAGTCAAAAAGAAAAGTCAAAATCAATGTATATGCTAAAGTCCACTTTGGTTTTGACTGAAATTGTTCTTGGATGGAGTCAATTGTGAGTTGCATATTGATTCGTCCGTATGTTTGTTGTTTGAATTTAAATGGTGTTGAGAATTTCTCAACTGAAGGTCATCGTATTTTGGATTTGGGATTGATGATTGAATGGTTTTCGATTCGAAAGCAAAGTGAAGAACTCAAGTGGATTTGTTGAAATCTGTTCTTGAAGTTAAATTCGAAAAGCCAATCGATAAAGCAAAAATCATATTGTAGTTCAAGTTTTGATATCATTTATTTGGTATTGATGGTCGATGGCTATGACTCGATGCTGAATTCGATTTCACTTTGTGTATATATTGGGTGTTTGGTGTCTCATTGGACGAACACAGATAGAAGGATTGGAATGTCGATTATGTGAAATCGTTTTAAAAATTGAAGTTTTGATTTGAGTTTTTGGAGTCGACGATGATTTTGGTTTCAATCAAACAGACAAAGCCTTGAAGATTTTGGAGTTCATGTGCTTGTTCTTGATGATCGATAAATTTGATTTGGAAAGAATTTGGGGTTGATGTACGAAGGGACACTGTGTTTGGATTTTCAAGATAAGATGGGTCGATTGTTGATGTTGGTATGTTGATTCTACAGTCGATTCAGAGGTTGGATGATTAAGAGGTTACTTTTCACTGGGTAAGGCTTCGTATGCTGAGAATTTTTCTTTTGATTGGGGAAGATGAAATTTCATACGAAGAGGAGAGTGAAAATGGATTGTTGAGTTCCATACGAAGGGTTGTTGTATTTTAACGAGGGGGGTTTTGTACAAAGATGAATATTTGAAGGGGGTATTTGGGTATAAAGGTATTGTACGAAGGATTGCAATTTCGTAAAAATGGCATTAAAGTCAAAAAGTTATGAAACTACTCCCTAATCTTACGAATGTTTAACCTTTTCGAATGCTACCCTTTGTATGATTAGTCAACATTTCGTATGATTTGATCAAATGGCAAAAAGTTTTGAATTCAGCCCCTGAACCTTCGAATATTTGACAATTCGACAATTAATTGAAGTTTCGAATGTTTGACACTTTTCACCCAATTTCGAAAATTATTTGAAGCTTCTTATGTTTGGGGATTCTTCGTATGATTTGAGCACAAAGAGCAGAATTGTCGGAAATAGTCCCTGATGTTTCGATTGTTTGGCAGTTGGTAACTAAATTCGAAAAATGACAGTTTTTCTGAAAATTGAAGAAAGTGCATTTCAATCCCCTGTAGTTTGTGCAAATTGACGCTATCTACCCAACTTTGGAAAAGGGGGAGAGTTTTGCATATTTTGATGTTTTGAGCGCAACGGGTCACTGCAGAATTTTGAAATTGACAATTTCTACCCATTTTGAGAAATTTTCTCAAAGGCGATCCGTGAACGAAGCTAAAAAGTGAATATTTTTTGGATTTTCCGGATTGAAGCATAAAGTTTATGCCACATGTTAAGGGGGAGTTTTAACACGAAAAATTCCGAATAGAGCACGTTCTTTTCCTTGAATGTTTTATAATCAAATTTCGATTATAAATTGGGGGAGAAGTTTATCTGGAAATTCGAATTTGATTTTTTTAATATTACGCGGATTTAAAGACCGAAGTGATCGAGAGGTTTTGAAGCTTACGAAATGATGCAATTGGAAGTTCGGAAATGATTTATTTTCGAAATGGGTTTGGAATTATTGAAGATTTTTGGGGTGTGTTTTTATGCTCAATTTTAGGGTGATCGATTTAGAGTTTGAGAAGCTCGTCATCATTCGTTGATGCTCAAATTGTATGATCTCACATCCTAGAGCCCAAATTGAAGAATTATGAAAGAATTGAAGATTGAAGTTCGTTTCGATATGTGTCACCTTTGAGGCTCGAACTGTGTAGTTGCTCGAATTTGGAAGATTTGAAGTGGGTCATCCATTCCTAACTTTGAGTGGGAGAATGTTAGGGTGCAAAGTTCTTCATGTGTGACTTTGTAGATGGTTTGACTTTTGTAGACCCACTTGCATGTGGTGCATTAGCCTTATGACTAAGGAGAGTTAGAGAGTGAGAGAGAGACATGTAAACACATTTATATAAGGTGAGTTCATATCACTTGTAGAGGTGTGCTTGAGAGGTGTAGTCATGGTGATTAGTGAGTGAGATATTTATGAAGTTCTAGACTAGATCCCTTTTTGTACTCATTTACTATGATCGAATATATCTTTTAGCACCCAAATCACCATGTTCATTGTGCAATCTTTAATATCGCATGTCAAACTATGCTCTTATGTCATTACAAACTCGTTGTGGCAAATCAATGTTATTGATATTGAAATGACATTATCCCATGTCTGCCAAGCGGTAAATTATGTTCTATCATGTCTTGTTCTGTCTTGTACTGTCGTGATTTCTGTATTTTGTTTTTAGGTGTTGAAAAACTCATCGGTTTCGAAAGATGAGGTGAAGCGACGTGGAATTGGGATGAAGAAGCTTGGAACAATATTGCAAGTAAGTTTTTATAGTGTTAATAATAATATGTAATGTAGGAATAAACTAAGTTTATTGAGTATTACATTTCATGTTTAATAAGTTCTAACTTTTTTTTTCTCTTTAAAAGAATAGAAAAAAAAACGTATATGTTATTTCAATATTTGTTGTCAAGACAACACTGTACAAAACTAAGATTTTTAAATTTAGAATTTATTTTTAATTAAGCAATTAAATTTAGAATTTATTTTTAATTAAGCAATCGTGTATTACACATGTTTATACCTAGTTTAATTATAAAATTATGATTATTATTTATGTCAACAAATCAACGTATAATTCTTAATATATTATTTGTGGCTTATTCACTTTAGATATTAATATTTAGATACATATTGGTTCGTAATATTAATTTTGTGAATTACAGCAAACTATCCTATAGTCAACCCACGTTACCTCTATAAAAAGACATTACTCTATTAGAACTCTCTAATCTCTAAGAGACACTTCTCCAATCAAAAATGGAACTCCAGATCCCCTTTTCTCTCCTTTTCTTTGCTGCCATATTCTTCTTATTCTTCAAGGCGCTTAGAAGCTCCAACTCCCTTGATACAAACAAAAAGCTTCTTCCACAACCATGGAAGCTCCCTCTGATTGGACACATGCATCATCTCATTGGCGCACTCCCACACCGAGCTGTAGCAAACTTAGCCGAAAAACTAGGGCCAGTCTTTTATCTTCAACTCGGTGAAGTGCCCGCTGTGGTAATATCATCTCCTCATTTGGCCAAAGAAGTCATGAAAACTCATGATCTCGCTTTTGCAGACAGACCCAAACTTTTAACTGCTGAAATCATTGCCTACAACTACACAGACATCGCCTTCGCCCCTTATGGGGAATACTGGCGACAGATTCGTAAGATATGCGTCTTGGAGCTTTTGAGTGCAAAAAAGGTCCAATCATTTCGATCTATTCGTGAAGAAGAGTCTTGGAACCTCATCGAATCCATAGATATGCAGACATCAAAATCAATCAATCTTTCTGATAAGACTTTCACGTTGATAAACAACATCATTTGTAGAGTTGCGGTTGGGAGCAGATGCAAGGAGCAGGCAACACTTATTGCGTTGATTGAAGAGATTGTATCTTTATCCGGTGGTTTTGATGTGGTTGATATATTTCCATCTGTCAAAGTACTACATGTAGTTGCTGGCATGAGGAAAAAGTTAGTGAAGTTACACAAGAAAATCGATCAGATTTTTGATAGCATCGTAGACGACCACCAAGAACGTCGTGCAGCTGGACACATCATAGACAACGAAGACCTTCTTGATGTTATATTGAGGCTTAAAGAAGATGGCGGGCTACAGTTTCCGTTAACTTCGGACAACGTCAAAGCAGTAATCCTGGTTAGTAACAATTTCATGCAAAATCTTGGTTTATCGTTGCAAAAATTCCTTCGCTAAAGAGGATCTTCTTGCCATGATCAATTCCTTTATATATTAAAGTTGCTTTACTTTAAAGCGTTAATTGCTTAAAATTTTGTGAAACTGCAAATATCACATCTACGTTTCGGAAATAATAATTTGTTTTTTAACATTTTAAATGATAAATATCTATTATTGAATCTAATTATTATAGATAAATTAATGATGATCTCGAGTAATTAGTTTTTAGACATCGTATATTAGCAGTATGGAACTTTGAGCCGCTTTAAATACCACCCAGATCGTACATAATGAATCTCCTTATCTATCTCCCTACTTAATACAAAAGCTACTTTGTTAGGTATGAATCATTTAGAACTTCTTATTAATTAAATTGTTATTTATTACTTTTTGGTTTTGTCTTAAAAAAGAAATTGACATTTGTAACTCTTTGCTTTTTCTTCATTAATTAAAAATTTAAAATATCATTAATTGCCTCTTTCCTTTTATACAAATATAACCGTCATCACAATAGTTATTACCTAATTTATTATTATTATTTTTATTATTATTATTATTATTATTATTATTATTATTAGGGCTAACAATCACATAAAACAATCACACCACCTTTATATAATCCCTTCAATTTTATAAATCCCTGCATAAAACCCATCATTTTCTTACCACAGTGGTAATATAATTCAAACATTCAATCTTATATATAATTTAATTTTGAAATAAAAACAATATAAACAACTATATTCGCTCTTTTATATATATATATATATATATATATATATATATATATATATATATATATATAATATTATTGTTATTGTTTTTTCATTATTTCACAAATATATATATATATATATATTCAAAATATATTTCACATATTCATTTAAAACAACGATTATAATTTTATATAACTTGAAAATATATATATTTACTAATAATTTATTTATAATAATTGATTCGTAATTATAACTTTTTTTACAAAAATTTAATTTATTTTATAACCGTGGTTCCCACGGGTTATAACCTAGTATGGAATAAAGTGTTGTAGATGTTTTTTAGAAACGGCAAGCTGGCATTAAAACGAAAACTAGCCAGAGGCTAGAGAGTATAAAAAAGGAGAGAGAAGAAAATAAATAAAAGAGACAACAAAACATAGAAAACAGATTTTTGACTATAATCTAGAGTAGCATTCTAGAATAGGATCACAACACCATTCGACCCATCCGAGGGGATCCCCTTTTCGCTTCCTCGCATTAATCCAGAATAGGGCCATGGATTGTACCTCGTAAGCCAACACCGTATGCGATTTTACGCCTGAGGAGTGTGCCTTCAAGTTCCGATAGTCCCAGATTACCCATAAGAACACTAGCATAACTGCCTCATTGATGTATGACAGCCTTTGGTGGCCCATCAGCAGTTTCCTATAGTTGAGAAGATCACCAATCGATTGAAAATTAGAGTCCAACAACCACCACCAACTAGATACCCTCTGCCATACTTCTTTTACTATCCCACATTCAACAAAAAGATGGTTCTCGGTTTCTAGACTTTCATCACAAATCTTGCATGCGGTGGATGATAAGATGCCAAATTTTGCTAGATTAGCTAATGTTGGAAGCTTACCATGAATGATTCTCCAAGCGAGAATATTTACTTTTCCAGGGACTAACGAGTTTCACATCCACTTCGTATCAGAAAAGGGGAGGGTTGCCATATCAATACATTTTCTCAAGGATGCTACAGAGTATACCCCTGAAGGCTCCATATCCCAGCTCCAATTAACTGCTCCAGGAGCATCAGCGATGTTTACTGAACGAAAATGATCTACAAATGAGACACTGTCCCTTTCTAGGGCTTTAGAAATACTAGCGATCATGCCCCAACATCCACTTTTCCGCCTAGCCACTGTGGGTCTAGTAAATCTGCCATCTGTCCCGTAAAGGGACTTTATTACCTCCGCCCATGCACTGTTAGGATTTACCCTATATCGCCACCACCACTTCCCCAACATGGCAATATTTTGGGCTTTCAGGCTGCCAATACCCAGACCGCTACATTCTATAGATGCAAGAGCTTTATCCCACGCTATCCATGACATTTTTCTTCTTTCCAAATCACCACCCCAGAAAAACCTCATTCTGATTCTCTCAAGAATGTTGATCACCTTGATGGGTGCTCTAAACATGGAGAAGTAGAATGAACCCAGGCTACCAAGGACTGCTTTACATAGGGTTAGACGCCCCCGAATGATAGCGTAGAAGACTTCCATTTTGATAACTTTGCCTGAAATTTCTCGATCAACGGGTTCCAATGCACAACTCTAGACATAGCCGCCCCTATTGGAAGCCCGAGATAAGTAAAAGGCATGATACCAATTGTGTAGTTTAAACACCGGGCAGCCAACTCAAGTTCATAATTTTGAATGCCAAACCCATACATTTTACTTTTGACATGTTTATTTGTAAGCCCGATGCCAACTCAAAACATCTCAGGATGCGAATAAGATTTCGAGCGTTTTCAATCGACCACGAGCCTAGGAAGATGACATCATCAGCGTACTGGAGGTGGGGATATATTTGGGCCTTGACTTGGGAGTTTTATGTCTTCAAAGATTCGTGCTTCTTTTCCTTCGTCCATAGCGATATGGAGCCCCTCTACTGCAATAATAAAAAGAAAGGGGGACAGGGGGTCGCCCTGCCGAAGTCCACGCTCCATACAAAATTCTAAGGTAGCAGCTTGGTGGTTGTCGAGGCCAACACAAATAATAACCCTAATTATTACACACTAAAATAGTGTATAGTGGTAAACGGATCGAATCCACGGAGACTGGTTCAATTTGATAACTCTATGAAAAATCTCTTTGTAAAATACTTGGAATATAACAATAAATTAAAAATGGGGGTTTTGATGTTTTGAAATACTTGAAACAAACTAGAATTAACTATGATTTAAATAGACAATTGCAACCAAAAATAAGAATTTGATGTAAAATCAATAAGGGAAAGATGGTTGACTTAAAGTTTTCTCACTTTGACTTTTGATGAACATATCATTAGAATTCAATGGTGCAATACTTGTTTTAAATCCTCAATTTGGCTATAGTAATCCAAGGAGCTTGAGATTACCTAGACTTTTCTTAATTGTTGAAATGGCTAGAGAAGCTCATAACAATTTCCTTAGTCAAAGTCACTAATTCCAAATAGCATGTAATTAGTGAAAGTCAACTAGCATTAAGAACCAAAAAGTCACCAAATCCAAGAGGGGTCAAATGCTTTCACCACCATGTTGGAGGAAATGTTTTTATGATTGTGTGAAGCAAAAACAACACAAAAATCATTTGTTGCTTGCTAATTTGAGGATCCTTTACTTAATCAAGAAATTAGCCAACTAATCACCACAAACACATTTAAACTCATGAACTAAAACATACAAGTAATGATAAGATGTTAAAACACAAAACATTCCATAAAGATTCAAGAACATGTTCATGGATTCTTCAACATTCAACAAAAGTTCAAAGGATTAACCAAAAGTCAACCAAGATTAGCTTAGCCAAGCATGGCTAAACACAAAGAAACAAAGTTAGAGAAATTTGTACCAAACATTAAGCAAGAATCAAGAGGTAAAAATATGATGTTCTTCAAGGGTTCTTGGCCTTCAAAAGTCTTCAAAACTCCAGAGAGAATCTTCAAAAATCGGATGTCCAAGAGTATGCAAAAGATGGGCACCAACCTTCCTCAAATAGCTCAAAAGAAGAATTTCCGAAACTACCCCTGCAGGGCCTTGCGCGACCCGCGTGCTGCTGCGCGGGTGGGTTGCGCGGGTGGTGCCTGACATGGGCTTCTTTGAGATTTTGGGCCTCTAAAGCATATCCCACTAGCCCAGATCGAATCCAATCACATCCTAGCCCATTTTCTTCAAGTTTTTCTTCATTTTAAGCCCAATTTGACCTCTCTAAGTCCTCCAAAGCTCGTGAACTCGCCCGATTAATAATTTACGTACGCTTGAATACTCCCCCCCATCTTGCAAATTTAAAGTTTATTTCTCTCCAAGTCTTCAAATAATCATCAAGATCACTTTATGCATCATCTCCACTACCCATCAAGCCCAACGTCATTTTTGTCTACCAAATCTCATCGCCTCCTATACGTCCCGAACACTCCCGCTCCGCTAGACCCGAAAACCTGCAATTACGCTCACAAGATTCGAGAGTACCCGAAATAGTCATAAAATAACAAAAAGGAAAATATGCATGGAAATTATCTAAATTATGAATGAAATATGCTAAAATAAACTATAAAAAGAAGTAAATAAAATGAAGCTATCAAATCACCCCAAGCTTAAACCTTACTTGTCCTCAAGTAAGACAAGACTAAATGAACTTGGGATGAACTACCCTAGAAATAAAAAGAATGGATAGAACCATGGAACCTGTTCGACGTTAGTCAACATGGTCAGAATTGATTTCGCTGCTATCTCACAACTTTTTCATCCGATGACAATGGAACCATAAACCACAGCTAGGACAACTCCTTTAGGTGAGTAAGGAGGGATGAGCAGTCGCAGCCTCAATGGAACATGTATACAATGAAGAACATCTGTAGTAGGGAGAAAGCAACTGGATGGGCTCGGGTGGGAGCTATTCTTTAAGTGCACACTCTGATCTGCCGGTTTCTCTCATGTGTAACTAGGTTTAATCGCTCGGGCACCGTTGTAGGAATCAGTTCACTTAGTGTTGGCCCAAACCTCCCGTAGTATCCAACTCGATAGTCTCTCTAACATCACCAATTTGCGAAAAACAACTCGATCTATATACAATAAAACATACATAAATAAAATGAATATCAAACGCCGGGTGACCAAGATGTTGGGAAATTTGTTCAATAATTGAACCGGCCACCTATCTAAGATAGTGGCAACTGAAAATTTGCATGCTTCATTTTGTTTTTTTTGTTTTTTTTTTTT